CTGCCAGAAGGCAATAATAGTGCAACAAACACTGACAAAAATATACTAGAACATTTGTGGTATAAAAAATTGGGGGCAACGTGGGGTTGGTACTTCTTTTGCCAATATGTGTTGACTCTGGCATCAATCGTGTTTGGAGATGCTGTATTTGCGAAAGCTTTTTGAGATGGTTGCATTTTTGATCGTATCCTTGCAGCTAGTGTTTACATTTTGGCTGCAACCCTACACTCACTTACCTGCCAGCTAAGCCCCACTGAACTCAAGTGAGCTTATCTTCCAGGAGACATGTACAGCGTTGCAAAGACATTCACATTATTCTGTGTGACATCCCAGTGACCAGGGGGCATATCTAAAAGCCACTAAAGCACCATCTGGAGGCGAATAATCACATTCTGTACAGCATGTAGCACACTGTCAGAGCTAAAGGAATGTGGAATGCTACTAATAAAGTTAGGTTGCCTACCAGTGGCACATGTGTCTGTGTGTGCGCGTGTTTGCTTAGATTGGCATTGCCAAGGCACAAAGGGGAACTAGGTGTACATAGCATTGATGTTTATGAGTTTTGGGTGCCTCGTGTTATTTTAGGATCTGCTCAGAGTCTCACTACTACTTGCTTCATACTGTGCCTGTTTGGTATAAGCTTATTTGGGCATATTGCCTTCTCTTTCTTTTTCTTTTTTTCATTTTGTAAATCATTCCTTTAAGTTATGTTATTTTGAAAACATGCCCAGAATTCTTCCGGCCTAGAGACCCATAAATTATAAATAGCTATTACCTTCATTTGTATTTAGTTTGAAATGCTAGCAGAAATGTATAATAAATTGATACCCGGCCAACGTGTGACCAAAAGCAGCAAAATGAGTAGTGTAATGCTAACAAGATATAATCTAGCTAAGAGGCCCAATGCTTAAAGCTGGCCAAGTCTGACAATCACTGTCATGTTGAGCTTACAATTCCAAGAGGAAGCTTTTATACGGCCTCTGTTGCTGCCAGGCACTTCCTGCCTATCACTTCACTTCACATATGTGGTAAAGGTGATGGACTTTCAAGGAGTAGGTGGCCAGGGGAGCATTTTGAATACCTGCTGCCTTGTTGAAAATATCTGATTTATTTAATTTACAGGAAGTCTTTTCTAGTTAGCTTAATGTTTGCCTTTGCCTTATGTCTCTCTCTCTCTCTCTCTCTCTCTCTCTCTCTCTCATTTTTAAGGCTTTTTTCCTGGCAGATTTTTGTGGTTATTTTCTATGTAAGGGCAGGTGTAGAATGCAATTTTATCAGATGCAGTTTGCAGAACACAAAGATAATTTATGGGACATTTTGTACATTAGTTTCTAAAAACTTATTTGAAGAGGGAGGCACTGAAAAATAAAGAATGCACCAGAGAAACACACAGAGACACAGACACAGACACACGTATCCATACTTACTAAACATGAAGATTACCCTTTCATTTCATAGCTGGAAATGGGAAGGGGTCATCAGCTTCCATGAAGAGGGTTACTGCAACTTAACACTATAGTAACCCTCAAGGAGCCAAACGCCCATTAACTTGGCCAAAAGCCCTTCTGCAGCTAGAATGTTAGGGACAATTACCACCTGTCTCCTCCTCCATGGGAATGTTGCAACACATAGCCAGTACTGGACTTGCAGCATCTAAGCTTTAGATTCTAAGATGTTTGCATGGTGCTGGTGGTGAGCCCTACAGCACTGTGTAACAGTAGAATGCAACTACTCACTTTTATTTCAGAGTAAGTGAGACTTGCTCCAGGAGAGTTGCTCGCACCAGCTTTGTTCCTCCTCAGGCTTTTTAGGTCAGCACAGGATGGTAGCTTAGCCAAGGTTTGGCTACAGACCACGAGTAAGAAGGAGAGACCTTAACCACAATCCTGTGCTTGGACAACGCACTAAACCAAACCTTGATTAGCTGCTGCTCTGTGCTTACCTAGAAAGTCCCAGAAGGAGCAAAGCAGCCACAGCCTCCTCCTTAGGAGCTAGAAAGTTTGCACTAAGCCACAGTTTAGCTTAGCATGACGTGAAAATGATGGCATTGCCATCTCCACTGCCAGACATCTGGTGGGCCAAATGTCAGGCAAAGTAGTAGCAGCTCCTCATGATTTTATGGTAAATTAAGTTGAGGGCTGCCATTTTAAAATGTACACTAGTGCAAAAGGGAGGCGGGAGGCTGTCAGATAATATTCTGTTCAACATGACAAATATGAAAACAATTAGATAAAACATGTTCAATTAGATAAAACGTCGGTCATAGTGCAAGTTGTAGTATTACTTTAGAGTAGTAGAAATTAATACAGTCTCAATTCCCTGAACTGCGTGAGTTGGTACAAATGACTTTAATGGGATCAGGATAGCCTCTGTAGAGCCAATAACACATTTGCAATGGGAACACGCACAATACATTTACAAAATGAGTTATTCATTTGATATGTTGAGTTTCCCTCTGAGATTTAATACTAATATTCTGTTATTAAGAAAATTATAGGCCAGATAATAGTCAGAGTTCAAAACCCATTTCAATACTTGATATATACTTCTTAACCTATTGCCCAAATTTGAAAAGGATTATGCCTCATTTCAATGTGTGCGCGCCTTTAAAAACAAAGCAAACAATATTTTAAATTTTATAGGTTAATTGCCAGTTGTTTTTTCTCTTAGTTGAGTGTTAAGATGAAGAATGTAACTATAGGATTGTTTTAAAACATGATGGCTTAAGGTCAAAGAGTTCTTATTCTTTCCTTTCAATCACAAGTTTCTTGTTTCAAAGAAAGTTGCCAAACCCGTGGCTTTATTTATAGCTTAGCAACACTACTAAATAGGAAGTCCGCTCTCATTTTGTTGGCAGTTGTGATGGTCACATGGCATAAGCTACCCAACTGGAGAAAAGTTTTGAACAAATGTACTCTAGCAAACCTGAGATAACCTTGGTTTTAGTTAAAAATACCACTACTGGTATTTAATTGCTTGGGATAATAAAAAGTAGTCACTATTTCCAGGCTCTATTTATGTCTTGGGTAGGTTCCCAAGGTAAAGTTGTGGATGATTTCACGTTCCAAACCAACAAAATAGCAGCCTTTTGAAAACATGGGTATATCTAACCTAAGTAGGTTTTTTCCCTGTTTCCTATCTTCGTATTACGGTGTAATTTGTTAAAGTAATGCAGGAACTGATGCCCTTATGTTAGCAATCAAAAGTTGCTTCTTTTTATAATTACAGTAGTAAAACTCAAAAACAACTACATTCTTCTTCCTTTGTTGCAAACTGGCTATTTTTAGGTGCAACAGGAAAAATGCAAATGCATGAACTTCTAATTTGACAAAGACTGTATACCCTGGCAAATTGATCCATAAGATCACCCTATCAGCTTCTAAGATGGCAATGGCGACGTACACATGGGCCTCTGTTCCTCAAGAAAAAATGGTCAACAAAGAACTTTTGATATTTAAGAGGGAGAGGGGACTCTCCAAAATAGAACCATTGTTGAATGATGCCACTGTGGCAGACGTTTCAACCTCCTAATGACCTCTCCTCTTCCTTTCTGCCCTACAGCAAATGACTCTTCTTACTGCTCCAAATTTAAGACATGAAGAATGCACATCTGCAATAAGGTCTAAACACAAAAGGAACCAGGATTCTGGGCACAATCACACTTTTTATCTGTTCATATAAACACTACTCTTCCACAGGAAGCAGCCATCAGGACTTTTAATTTTTTTTAAATCAAATTCTCCAGTCAATAATATATTTTACACTTTTAAAATAGAATTTCTCTCATTTTCTAGTTGTCAAGAGAAGTCTCTCCCACCAACTGTCTTTCAAGTCAACTAAACTGGTGATATTTAAACCAACTCTGTATGTAGTGAAATCTCCATTTCAATTCATGAAAGTTACCCTCTCCCAAAGACCTAAAAATTATTCTTCTCTCTCCAAGCTGCATCAATCCTATGCAGGGGTGGGTGGGAGACTGCTATGCTTTAACAAACCAGTAGAGGACACTCATTAGTAGGTCAATCAAGTTCAATTCCTATCTTATTACTCTGCAGTTTTTAAGTTTCTCTAACATAAAAGGTCAAGAATCCCAGTACATGCTTCAGACAGATATCACCAACATGAAACAGAACTTGGTTAACAGAATCAAGTAAAGTGGGGGAAACTAACAATGAAGATTATTGTGCTTTCTACACTCTCTATACTTAAGTGACTGTAGAAACAAACTTGTTTAAAAAACAGCGCGCGCGCACACACACACACACACATGGCAGTAAAAAGCATAAAATCAACAATAAATTGCATTCATAAAAAGCATCACAAATTCTGCAGCCACAAACTGCATAATGTTGATGCAATGTCAAAATTTCTATGCTATTTCAGAGGTTTGAATGCTGCCATATCCAATGAGACATCACCAGCCTCCATGGCTTTTAAAAGCTGAAACATGGGAGCGATTAGTGCAGAATCCAAGCATTCACTTGGGATAAAAAGGATGAGTTGTTAGGTAACTCAAACTTGCATTCTTTGGACCCAGTTTCACGAGTCACCTTTTAATCAGTGGTGTAAGCACAATCATGATTTCTGCTCTAACGTAGTATGAAAACAATGCAGTAGGGCCAAGAACCATTCCTGAATCACCCCCTTTTCTTTCCCACCACACACTGGTATGTGACAGCTTCAGTGAGGGATTTGTGAAAGGGTCCTCTGATTACCGTAGGTGACGCCTGATGGGAACTCTTGGTAACGAGAGTCTCCGTGACAGTACATTAGAAGTCTTTTAAAACAACAGCAACAGGAAGTCTTTAAATGCACGGAAATTGGGAAGTTTAATATCGAGAAGGCTCTTGGGAGTAGGATTTTCAGAAGCATCCAGGGTTAACCTAATTCTGCTCCTAATGAAATTATATAGAGTTATTTTAAGACCGGCTTCATGCTAGCTCTCTGTTGTGGAGTCTGCAACCATTTTAAAAGGGGACATAAAACACTCCTCTGTTTACCTGCACTGGTGCCTGCACCGGTTGTGAGGTCCCCACCCATCAGGCCACCTAGGAGAAGACAAATAAAATAGTCAAATGGAGAGAGGAGCTGAAAGAAACCACAAAGGTCAAACAGAAATTACAGCCTGTTCCTCAAAGCAATGCAAACCCTAGCAGAGTTCCTACCACCAGGGTACTTATAAAGATCAGGCTGTTTGAGCCATGCTGACTACTATCTACATACGTATAAGCAGACCCATTTCCTCTCGAACTGCACAGACATTCTGTCAATAATAATAATAATAATACCCTGAGCAACCGATGATTCGTATTTCATATTTGCTTAAACCTTAGGATCATCTTGACAGCAAAAGTAAAATGGAGTTTGTTGCTTCTGTTGCCTGATGATAAACCCATTTACTTGAGAATAAGTAGTATTTTGTTACAGAAAAGGGTGCTGCTAAAAATAATGGCAAAAACAGGTGCCCAAATTAGTATTTTTACTTTCAAAATAACATGTGCATCCATAACTGTGTTTAGGTCTGGGCAGCCACCCCCGATAACTCCAAAATGTTTTGGGTTTTTTTTAAAATAAGAAGCAAGAAATGATGCTGCAGTGAGCAGTATCAGGTTTGGCAAGGCTCAGCAGGCCCACAGAAGCCCTGGTGCCCATGTGAGGCTGGTTTGCTGCTGCTTCATAATATACACACCTCTCACAACCTTTCCAGTCTGCAAATGCAGTGAGGATGTCAAGCAACCACCAATCATACATATGAGATGGCTCTTTACAATGCCATGGCATACCTAAGGTGATGCCTTCAGCCTTGGAACCCTGAGCACCCACAAGAGTACAAGGGACTACCTGTTGCAGTGCTAGGAAACCTCCCTGCCCAGTGACTATAGAAAATCCCAGCTTCAGTCCCTCATAGAGTCACATAATCTTAGAGTTGGAAGGGACCCAAGGGTCATCTTAGAGTTGGAAGGGACCCAAGGGTCATCTAGTCCAAGCCCCTGAAATGCAGGACATTTCAATATTTTGTTTTTGTTCTGCTTTTCTTAAAAAGCATATCAGGTACCATGGATGAGAAAAGCTTTGGCCTGAAACCTTGGAGAACTGCTGCCTATCAAATTGACAGTCCTGAGCTAGATCGGCAGCTTCCTTCACTCATGTTTCCCAGTCCCACAAAATTCACAGTTATGACACTTTAGGATGCCAGCTGCACATTAGGGTTAGGATCCAAACAGCTCTATAGGGGACTCAAGTGTTTTGCATGTGTACTGTGAATTCGCACTCCACCCCCAAATCGTACTCCTGCATGACCAGAGTGCTTGGTATCAGGAACAACAGGGAGCGAATCCTGTGTTGTCGAAGTCTTACAAAGACATACTGGAAGTACTTCCCTTAACACCTTCCCAACAAATGGTGGTGTATTTTTGCATGACATTCTTGGTATTTTCGCAAGCATCAATGGCTTGTTTTTTCTACTACCTTCCTTACGGTGGAGACCTTGCTTGACTTTTCTGAGGTCAACACGCTTAAGGCTGACTCTGCTTCAATCAGACAGAGTGAAGGATCCTAATCCTTATTTATCCTACTTACAGGTGATCCTACACCTGGGTGGATGGCAACTTCTTGCTTGTACAGTGAGACAAACAAGCCACGAGTTCGAACAATACATCACCATCAGTGAGATTCTAATGACCTGACACATTATCACAAAGGCTGCTTTTAGCTTCTTAACTGTGGAGTCAAATGACCTATTTTGGCAGCAAGGATTAACCTCGCCCGCTACTTCAAACTCATTTCCCAGTTTTTTCTTCTATGAAAGAAGATGTGTAGCTTTTTAATGACATGACGACAAATGGGCCTGGATTCAGAGCCTACATTTTGAAACAGTCTTTAACAGGACAACAGTGAGGGTAAAAAAAGATTTATTGTCAGAAGCCTATAGGCACTTTCTAAATAGAACCATTTTACTTCATGTTCGTGAACAAGTTACCACATGAATATTTGTTCCTTCAGTTGGGTGTCACACAAACATTCCCAGTAGCTTGAGTCCATTAATTCTCTTCATTTTAAAAACATTGTCTTCTTTAGATTAATTATCTTTAATTTCACAAAGGATTGATCTCTTTTTAGAATTTAACTTTACTTCTTTTTAAATGAAAATTCTGAGAAATGATCTCAGTACCATCTATACCAGGGTTTCCCAAACTTGGGTCTCCAGCTGTTTTTGAACTACAGTTCCCATCATCTCTGACCACTAGTTCTGCTAGCAAGGGATGATGGGAGTTGTAGTCCACAAACAACTGAAGACCCAAGTTTAGGAAACCCTGGTCCACTCCACCTGGCAGCAATTCTTCAGGATTTCAAACACGAGTCTCTCTTAGTCCAACCTGGAGATGGCAGGGATTGAACCTGGGCTATTCCGAAAGCAAAGCAGATACTCTACCACTAAGCTACAGCCCTTTTCCAAACTTAAAAGTGAAGAAATAGGATTGGGTAGTGCCTTACCTGTGTTTCCTGCACTCGGTGGCCGGTGTGTCACACCAGGAGACATGCTATTCCGCTGTAAGGAAGGGTGGGCCAGAGGCAACAGGTTGGGGTTACCCAATGAGCTTACAGGGTTGCTGTATACCAAGCTGTTGTGGTTGGACACTGGGATAGAAACTGGCATCTCAAAGTTAGGTGGTGGAACAGCCTGTACAAGAAGAAGGGGGGAGGAGGAAACAAAAGACAATAATAGTAAGGAGGCACAACAGTCTCAGAGAACACTTATGCTACATTTAGTGCAAATATGTTGTAACCACTGATTAAAAGCACACAGAAAAGAGTCAGGAACATGAAATGTCACTACCAGCAAGCTTTTAACCTCTGAGGCAGCAATCCTGTACGACTAACTCATGAGTATGTTCCATTGAACACAGTGGGACTTACTCTGAGTAAATCCGCACAGCATTGAACTTTGAGAAAAGCCTTTTAAAAATGCTTAATGGATCGTGAATTAACATTTATTTTCTCCCCACACACCCATCTCCTATTTCTACATTTCCTTTGTATTGAAAGACTGGAGAGGTCTTTCCTCTCACAGTTTTGCTTAAAAGAAAACCCTGTTTCATTAAGTTTCAATTTTTAGCTTTCTTCCATTCACTGAAATTGTAATTGCTTACTTGCGGCATCTTAATATGGTGTCATAGAAGAATGTAGATCAAAGACACTTGATTACGATGACTTCACTTTACAGAGAAATATTAGAAGGGTGAGGAATGCAAAAGGGAAGCTTTTTGCTTCGGTCTCAAGAATCTTAGAAGCTTGGGATTATGATCAGCTTTATGAAAGGGACAAGTATATTGTATTCTTTCTTCTTCTTTTTGCAAAATGTACTCACTTTGCTTGATCTCCATGAATGTATCAGGACAAATACAGATTTTAAAATGCAACAACAACACTCATGGAGACAATGGGTTGTATCCAACTAAATTCTACTCAGAGTAGGTCCATTGAAATTAATGGCCTCAATTTAGTCATGTGCATTAATTTCAGTGGGTCTACGACTAACATTGCCTGCAACCCATATATGTGAAAAAAACAACACATTGGCTTGGGTTCTAAGCTCCCATGAGTGGACCTCTGCTCACAAAAGGCTGCTGTTGGAGGAAGAGGTGGAGAGGAGGCAGGATTTTTTGTCTGTTCTCCCCACTCCACAAATCTGATCCAAAGGGTTGGACAATCTTTGACAGCAGAGGTAGTAGTGGCTGCCGTAGGGGAAAAGAAAAATGACAAAAATCAACTCCCCCATCCTACCCGTGGAGGCATCTATTGGATCAAAACTCTTCAGTGAATAGGATAGAGGTGAATTCTTCCTCTGGGAAGAATTGAATCTGTGATGTCACAGAGCTGAAAGTGTTTGACCCTGGAGAAATTTGTTCATTTAAAAAGAACATAGTGGTGAGTCAAGGGCTGTAATACAGGGCTAGGAATACGCTTTCCCCCTGCAACCAAGGATAATGATACTGAAACTATCTTAAGGGATTATTGCAAGGATAATGACGATTATCATGGTTTTGTTATGGATTTTCCACAAAACCTACAAAGATAGGCACTAGGTCCCATTCCTACTCTCATTTATTGGGGAAATATACCAAGTCAGAAATGACAATCTATGCTAGAGCTTGAAGTACACTCAGCACTTACTGTTTATTTAAGTTATGTTTTCCCAGTGGAGTTCTACCATAGCTTTAAAATATACTGTATTTTTATATGTACAAAGCATTTCATGCTTAATGCAGAAGTTGAAAATTCTTAGTAATAATAAATCACATCCAAAGATAGAACCAGCATAAAACAACAACAACAACAACAACAACAACAACAACAACAACAACAACAACAACACAACTTCGGTTGGGATTGGTATGTACAGACTTTCAAGTTATAAAGAAATCTTTGTCAGGCTGAATGGAAATGCATTAGAAGCGTCAAAACAGCATTACTTTATAAGCTGGTTCATATGCTTTGTTTTTGAGCATTCCATAGCAATAACTATGGAACGCACAATATGGCCTGTACTATGGAAGTTGCATGATTAGACCGACCTGTAGCAAGCCTAGCTGTTGTCATTTCATTGGGTCTAAAGCAGCCTTTTCCAAAATTTGGCAATTTTGATGGTATTTTTTCAATTTATATGGAAACTACTTGGAAGCAGTGTGACCAACACTGCTGCAACTGATGCATGGATGCTGTGTAGAGCAACTTCCACAGGTACATACTGAATAAGGCCCATGATGAGCAACGCATGTTTACTCAGTCTCAGATCAATTTTGAAATTTTAATTCTAAAAAGATGTGCTGAAAGGACAAATACTTACCTAAATTTAATCTACACTGACACCATTTTTTTAAAAAGTGTGACTACTTTTTCTCCCTCATTTTCTCCCGTTTATTTTAGGAGTGAAATTGGTTATACCAGCTGGTAAGCCTGCTCCATTCAGCTGGTATAGTCCATTTCTCATTTCCATTTACTTTGGTGTGACTTGGGAAAAAAGAAAATCTTTAGGAAAGAGGAAAATGGAATGGAAGGGCTCTTAGCCCCCCCCCAACATCCAGAACTTCACCCCTCCCATATAGTTATCAGACAGTAAGAAAGAAGTTATTCCTCTTGCCCTTCATAAGGTATAATCATTTTGCAAGTTGAGTATACATCTGCTTGTGAAAAAAGGAACCTTTGGAGCTGAAACTCTCCAGGGAACATTCCCTATCAGTGGAATCTAAGATACCAAAGCCCACAGAGCAGTAGCTGTGAAAAACAATGCACATCACTTACTGATAATGTTTTTATCATTGAGGAAACCTGTTTCTCTTGGAAACTGTTTCCATGTGCATTCATAGGAAGCAACCTAATAAACTTGACTCTGTCTTAGCCAGGAGCTACCAAAACAGCAGAGGTCAATAGGGGATATAGATAGTTGACCCCTAGGTTTGGGTAGCCAACTTGGGTGTTCTCCAGATGGTGCTGAATTATACCCCCAATCAGACTTGTTAAATACAAGTCATTATTAATATTACTACTAGTAGCATTACAATACTAGTCTGGAGAATTGCAATAGCTCTTTAGGGAGCTGATGGTGATTTGAAAGGCGATTCTCGTGTTCTCTGTTATCAAACAAGTTATGCAGGTTTTTTTTAAGAAACAATACCAAATCTTGCAAGACCCATTTCATAGAGATGGAAGTGGGGTGAGCCTTGACTCTCGGGCTGCTTTCGACACACTGAAAAAACTAACTCTTGTGCCTCTAACCTCAAAAGGGCAGTTCAAAAAATTGCAATTCACTTGTGCTTCCTCTGCTGCTGCCCTTTTAGAATGTCTGAAGCCAATCTAAAAATAGGGAGAGTCATTGCTGTGTCGCAAAACCCTGGCATGAAATTTCTTCTCACCCAAAATGAAAAATAAAAATCTCTTCTGCTTCCACACTTAACCTGTCTCATGAGGGTCGGGGAGTAGAGCCTGTTTTTCAACACATACACCGCAGCAATGGAAGACGCATGAGTTATGATGAAGGCTTAGTTTCTTAGGAAACGTATGTACCATGTAATTTAAAATATCATACAATTATGTATCCAAGTATAGAAACACAATGGATGAAATTCATCCTTTACAGCTCAGAGCCCAAATGCTGGGATGATGCGACAGGAACTTCTTGGAATTTGTGAGCTGCGAATAGAGTCTAATCCCTCTTCACTTAAAAATAAAAATAAAAAGGGCAAATAGGCTGAAATTGCAACCCAAGTCAACAGCTCTTCTCTTACACAACAGAGCGAAGATTTCAGTCTTTCTGGGTGATTCATTTGCAATCAAAGAGCAACTTCGAGTTCAAAAAAGCCTAGAAGTGAGTTGCCTGTGTGTAGTTTATTCTTGCACAAAGCCTCCAATAGCAACTTCTTGTTTTTATTTATTTCATGTCTATCCCACCTTTCTTCCATAAGCAAACTCAAGGTTGCATGCATTGGGTTCCCAGGAAACCATCTCCCATCCAGGCACTGAAGGCTCACACCTGATTAGCTTCCACAAAGGCGCTGCCTTTGTGTCTTTGGGCCTTGGGATTTTACAGTTTGCCATTATGTAGTAGAAACCGGAGATTTTGGGTAGTAAATAGTACACAATACAAAGCAGTCTCAGATCATCACTGCTCCCCTAAAATCAAGACCATACACACAAAATGGCAAGCTGTTTTTAAAAAATAACTATTTTGAATTTCATACCTGCCAAGACCCAAACAGGCACATGTAAGTGTCTACAAAATGAACCTATGTCAAAGTGGATGCAATAATTCCATTTCCAAGTCGCTTTAGTGAACAGGCTAGCGTGAAGCCATTTGACCTGGCAGGGTGCTAAGAGATTTGGAGAACCACACACATGGCCGCCTGCCCACATCCTTTCCTTTTTGTAGGATCAGCAGGGTTTGTGTAGTCTTTCATCATGGTCACGTATCAAAGTGAATTTGAGGGGAATGCTTGGTTTACCATGCATGTAGGAAAAATGTACAACTGTGTTCCTTTGCAACTCCAGTTTATTTCAGCTGGGCTTGCTTACACTTAAGACAAAGGTGGATTGTTCCCTATAGCTTTTAAATGTTCAATCTCTATGCTAGGGCAGAGTGAGGTGGCAAGAATTGGGAGGATATAAAAAGCATTTCTGGATATGGCTAGGGAATGATACTCACAGGTGGGAAAATGAGCTTATAGAAAAGGGGGCAGACAGACAACTGGAAAAGGTGTGGATGACCTAGTCATTACATTACAATAAAGAGAAAAGAAGCTTGTCCATGAATACCCGTCACTCTAAAAGCCGGGCTTGCAGTGCTTTTCTATTTATGGATAATACATATGCAAACAAGTTATCATAAAATAGCACCAATTTGCCTAAGAAGCATAGAGTAAACCAGCTGGTTCTCAACTGCACTTCATTTGAACAAGCAGTTTTGTATCTGTCTTGAGGCCAGTTAAGTCAATGGAAAACTCTTGTTTCAATGATCTTGTACTATATGAAAACATATGTAGAACCTCAGAAACCCTTCGGCCAATCTTGGGTTGCCTGCCATGAACATCCTTTTAATTGTTCCCATAATAATTTCTTTTTCATTACAATGGGGCTTGTGCAGAGAGTTTCCCAGTGGAATGTGTCCATTATGCCACGCTATCTGTC